TTAAATGAATTCAAAAGAATTACTTAAACATAAAAGAAAAAATCGTCCAAAAATCAAAATAATATTTTCGTTCAAAAAATTCAGTCAGATTATACTAAAAGTGAGATTGAGCTAATTCAATAAAGACAAAAGTTTTCGACTGCTAATAATTTGACTGATTTGATAATTTAATAATGTAATAGTTCTTCACTAAACCATTTAAACAAATTTGGCTCTTCTAAAACTTAAACTTTCCAACTTTGCATAGTGACAATTTTTTATCTTCCATAAAAGCAAAAACAATGATTTTTTGACTTAGAATTGATCAGTGCATATTTTTTTCTCATCGTTTGCTGTTTTTATTGTGTTTAAGTGAATGATTTGCAATCTCATTTGCATAAAAGCACTTATAAGTTAGTGAAAAGCACAGTTTATTGCAAGCAAAGTCAGTTTCAATTAATTCATTTGAAGCAATGCTTCTAATGAATGCTTTTAAAATTAGTAAAATAACTTTTTTCTTGCCTAAAAGTTATAAAAATAAAAATTATTCAAATGCTACAGATAGAAACTAAAAACTAAAATGATTTGTCTCCTCGAAAGAACAGTAAAATGAAAGCTTTTTTTTCAAAAAAAGGAAATTATATTAATTAATGAAATTACTAGTAATTTCATTAATTTAACTTTATTTATCTAAAATTGTTTACAGTAGAAAGTGGAGTTGAAGTTGCCGTCGAATTTTGGATTCAAGCAATTACATCAATTAATGAAATTACTAATGATTTCGAGGTAAATTTTATCTGAGAAACAATTTTGACACCATAAAACTTGAAGTCCTGACAGTATACCAGATTAACTTTGACTTTATAATATGAAAACAAGAAAAATTTTGAGTAATATGAAAATTTGAATAATATGCAATTATGAAATTTGAATAATAGTATGAAATTATAGCATGAAAATTTGACTTTGACTTTACAATATGCAAATTTGAAATTTCAGTTCAATTAGAAAAGTTGGAAAATTGAGTTAAAAATTAAGACTATAAACTTATTTTAAATAGTTTTTAGCATTTTGTAATAGCTAAAATCTTTTTTGATAATTTTTGTGAAAATTTATTTTAGTAAATTTTAGTTTTTTAAATGCGTTAGCATTTTCTAAGATCATATTTAACTATTAGTTTAGATGAATATTTTGTTAATAATAAAAATATAAAATTTTTAGACATGAATTATGATAGCAGATTATCAAAAACTTTTGTAATATGTCAAACTTAACTTAAAAAAATTGAGATGGAAATTTATATCAACGAGATGTGGCTTGATCCAGCATTGAAATTCGAGCATTTCAATCCTTGTAAGGATAACTTATCGCTTAATCATCAAGTTTTGGATAAACTTTGGACGCCAAATAGTTGTTTTATTAACAGTAAAATAGCACAGATTCATGAATCGCCTTTTAAGTAATTTTTTATTCAAAATTTTATCAAAATTAAATAAATAACTGAAAAGTTTTCTTTTCAAAAAAAAAGAAACAAAAAATGCAGTGGTTGCATAGTATTAAAATAATGCAACAAGAAAAATTTGTTAAAGAAGTAATGCTTTACCAAAAATTCTAAATACAGAAATAAGCATTTCTGTATTTTAGAAACATTTTCCTGATGTTATATCCAAATGGTACCGTTTGGGTTAATTATGTAAGTTTTTGTATTTTTATCAGATTATAACTTACAACAATTAGTTTTCAAGCTTAAGCTTTGATGTTTTAGCTAAAAATTCAAAAAGTTAAGAATTTTGTATTCATTAATGTTTAAATTTATGCTTAAACTATTTACTTGATATTTTTCGTTCGAATAATTATGTAACTTTGTTCAATTAATATTTAATCGATTTTAACAGCCTTATTTAGAGAGTTCGGGTCAAAGGGCCATGCGCAATGGATTTGTCAAACTTTCCAATGGATGTTCAAACTTGCCACTTAATATATGAAAGGTATGAATAATATTATGACATACATATTAATCAAAGCAAAAAAATTGAGTTATTCCTCAATTTTAAATATGAAAGCTCCTCAATTTCGAAGCATAAAAGCATCAAAAAATGCCGGACTATAGAAGATTTTTATTTTGAGTATTTCAGTAATAATATTAAATTTTAGTTTCAATTACAATAATCAAGAAGTTCGCATGCGTTGGAATATGATAAATTCAAATCCAGTTTACGTTGTTAGTAAGATATTGTTGCCAGATTTCAATTTAATAAATATTACAGCAACACTTAAAGTAGAGGTTACTTTTTGATTTTAATAAATTTTATTCAATTTGGACAAAAATTTTAAAATTAAATATAAAAAATTAAATGGATCAATGAAGTTAGCATTCTTTTAGCTAATAAGAAAAATATAAGAAGACAAAATGAATCTAGCAAAACATTACATTTAGGAAAGCAAGAATTAAGTAAGTTGTTAAAATTAAGTAAATAAATGAAAGCTTTTTGAATTAATTGAAATGAAAGCTTTTAAATTAATTAAATTAATTCAATTAAAAGTTTTTCAGAAATATCCAGCTGGAATGTGGGACGAATTACATGTAAGTTTGACATTTGAGAGGCGTTGTGTTTGGTACTTCATGCAGGCTTATGTTCCAACTTATCTTACTATTTTTATTAGGTAATACTTTTTTTAGATATTAAAAAAGCAGCTGTTTTCAGTGAATTTTTTTTAACGCAGATAATCTTCTTGAAATTTATATGACTTTTGTCAAATATGCTTACGTGCGACCACTTAAAAGTTAACTTTACAACTGACTTGTAAACTCAGAATATGAAAATAGAACTTTTCATTTCATAAAGTTTAGAAATAAAATGCTTGAAAGTCTGATATTATTAAAGCATTATAAATAAATATCATAGTGTTCAAAAAAATGAAATAAGTTTACAATTTTCAAAACTAAGCATTTTTCTTGAAATTTACGTGATCTTTTAATTATTGATAAATTTTACTCTGATCGCATATCCCAAGAAATAAAGAAAGTCAAAATAATTTACAATTTTTGTAAATATAATTTCCGAAGCTTGACCTATTTGAACTCTCAAAAATGGACAGCACTATGCAAAGTCATACTTTGAGAAGTAAAAGAAAGTTAGATATAAAATCTATGCCTATTAGACAAGACTAAATTAGAATAAATTAATTTGGTTGAAAAGCTTGCAGTTGGGTATCATTTTCGCTAGGGCCTAAAGCAATACCAGCCCGAACAATGCTTGGGGTAAATGCTTTGCTGGCGATGATTTTCCAATTTGGCAATATCATGCGAAATCTTCCTCGAGTTTCTTATATCAAAGCTATTGGCATGATATTAACTTACGCTTACTTACGCTTACTTACAAATTTAACTAAAATAATACCAAGCACGCTTTCAACAAGATTTAAATTATTCAAAAAAAAATTTTGAAAATAATTTCTCACAATATTTTAACTGATTACACTATTATATACTGGAATAATGACATTTTTGCTCGTACTAGCAAACAAATACGTACATTACAGTTATTAGTCTGATTGTTAATTAGTCTAATTATTGATAACAAAGTTGATCTGAACTTGAATGATCACAAATCATTCAAATTCAAATCAACTTTTTGATTTAATAATCAGATTGATCTAATTTTGATTCTTTTTTTTCCAGATATTTGGATGCTTGTTTCAATGACATTTATTTTTTCATCTCTTATTGAATTGGCTATAGTTGGCTCCAAAGTTAAGCATATGGAAAGTAATGAACGACCCAGGAAGTTATACCGTAAAAATGTTAGCTTAAGCTACTTCTAGCCAACAATTTATGATTGCTTGTAGTTTGTGATTGTATATTGAAGTTCAAAATACTTGACAAAAATTCCATCTTTTAAATAGTTCCTAAATAAAAAATGAGATAATTATTTAATTTTTACGCAATTTGAAAGACTTTGTCTGATTTAAATTGATAAAAAAAGTTCGCTATTTACACATTCAAATTTTTATTAAACTGCAAAAATTAATTAAATCGAAAGTTATTTTTGGTCTTAACTGTTATTTTTAAAAAAAAAATGCATTATTTAAAAGAAAGTAATTTGTCACAAATATTATTCTCATAACTGCTTGTAATGAGATTCTGTCTAACGTAGGTGATTTATTTAGACTGAAGGAGTAGAATCAAGTCCAAAAGGTCTTTATAAATTCGAAAAAAGATTTATGTTTCCTGTAGAAGGCGTAGAGCTAAAATGGTATCAGTCTCGATGGAAATCATCACTTTGGACACCAGATCGTATAGATCGCTTGTCGAGTATTATTTTTCCAGCATTTTTCGCGTGCTTCAATGTAAAGTTTACTTGCACTTAATTTAGTAAAATAATTAAAATTATATTCATATTAATGATTATGCAAATTTTTAGTTGAACTTCATATGTTAGCAATTCTACATTTCATACTAAGTCAATATTACGCTTTTTCCGTATTCCAGGTAATTTACTGGTCATGGTACTCGGAATATTTATTCTAATATTAATTTCGAATTGACGTGAAATACCACTTCTGTTACATTTTCCAGCAAACACTGTGCCTAATACTGCCAATATAATATTATGTATTTTTAAATCCCGTATATAAATTATTTGATGAATTTTTTCTCTTCAGTTGTAATTTATTTGTTGATTTATAAAAAGTACACACTCAGAGCATTTAATCTGTTAATAATTTTCAGATTTTACTACATTTATACAAAAAAATACAGTTATACTTCAAAAGTTTTTCAAAATAGTATTAAACAGAAATTAAATTTGTATCACAAATACTCTATTATCAAGTACTCTTTATTTAGTGAGTGAAAAAATTATTATATGATCGAAAACGAAACTTATGCATACTTTTAATTAAGTTATGATTTTAATGCAGAGTAATTAGACTACGTATTAAGCGTGAATCGCAAGAATCTTTTATTTAAAAATATTGAAAAATTTTTAATCACTTCAATTATTTTGACTTACATTTAGCATTACTTTGAAAACGAAAAAAGTCAGTTCACGGAACAAACAATAAGTAAGTATTGTAAACGTGCAAACTTGATATAATGCAAGTGAATATTAAGTGAACTCTTCAAAGGTCATGAAACTTTGTCATAAATTAAAAAATTTTTCTGTCATTCCGCATGTGTTACTACCATCTGAAAAAGCAATAAATAAATACTTTTGATTATTCATTTTGTCTTGCCATGAATACCTGTTGTTTCCGTGCAAACTTCAACAAAAATTTGGCATATATCACAAATAGAAGAAAACATTAATTTATCACTAATTTATAAATTTTATTTAAATTTAAATTTTTGTACTTACAACATCACAAATATCAAAGCCATCTCCTACTTTCCTCACGTCAGTAATTACTTATCAAATTAATATTAGCAAGAAATTATATTTTTAAATAAGTATTTGATTACTTTAAAAGCATTTCAGTTTTATTGACATTTATAAGATTCTTTTTTGCTAACAAAGTTTTTCATTCTTGTAAAATTTATTTTGACAAGTGAGCAGTCAATTCGGTCTTACAAACGATAATTCAAGCAAAAAATTCTTTGCATTATTTTACAGTACACATAAAGACTATTTTAGAAGCTAATATTTAGCATCAAATAAATCAAAAATAGCTAAATTACTTAAAATGACTTCCTATTACAATGATTAAACCAGAATATGGCATAGAATGAAAATTGATGAATTGCAATAATCTTTGACATTTGCAAATTTGAACTAAATACGCCCCAATACTTCATAACCTGTACTTATAAATACGCTCAAGTATTTAAAGATTCACTTGAATGTACGTACAGATTCTTATTTAAATTTCAGTACAAAAATTTCGCCTTATAAACAACGTTGACTGATGTCTTTACGATGAAATGATTCTCAAATGATTGTCAGATAATTGCAATTATTTGTGCTTTTTCATTATCTGCAATTATCACTACATTATTTGTAATAAATAAAAAAGTGCAGATAATTGCAATTATCTATACTTTTTTATTTATTCTCATTGAACACTTACTTTAAGTAAAAGTATAAAAAGAAAAATTATTATGAAGCAAATTAAATACGCATTAATACTGAAGCACAATTATCTAAGCTTGGAAAATTTTTTGCTATATTATTTAAGTAGATCAATATTTTTCAGTTCTTTTGAAGAGTTAAATGTACTCCAGTACTGACAGTATACAAAAATACTTAGAATGCAGTAAAATTACTTAAACATCTATCAATAATTACCTTTATTTTAGAGAAAAAAAAAGAATAAAACTTGATGTTTACGTGAATTTTAGATTCAAACACATAATGATATTTGCATATTTTGTTGAATAATTAATACGAATTAATTTGTACGGTAGTGTTTGTTTCAGTGATCAGAATTGCTTGCGTTATTTTGTGCGCAAAAATAATTTCCTTCCCTTTTCTGACTACTACTGTTAAAAATTAATTTCACGTTGTTGCAATTTTCATTTTTGCACGATAAAACGCGGCAAAAACAAACTTTTACGTGAGAAAGATTCGAATTTGTTTGTAATGTAATTTGCAGTCAAATAATTTTTCAAATATAATCTTCTACTTTATAATACATTCTATTCGTTTTTACTATTAAATATTGCAATATTTTGCTTCAATTTTTTTGCAAATTCCATGTAAAAAACGCATTATTTTTTTCTATCATTTTTGCCTACATATTATTAGCAAAAAAGAAACGTACGTGAATAATCTTTCAAAGATTTTATTAGTAAACTTTAAGTGAAACTATTTTGCTACTGTATTTGAATAATATTGATGAGACACGTAAATGATTCTAGATGTTTGAATTATTGCCATAGTGCCATTGTGGGTTGTGTTGACCTCGTGTAGACCAAATTTAATATAATAGTTTATTATGCTTATTTGTGCTAAAATGAAATCGAGTTTTAGAATGAAGCTGACCTAATGATATAAAAAGACTATGCGTTGCTTTCTTCTGTGTATTCTATCTATATGTAATAGTTTAATTGCTTCGATTTACTTAACGTTAAACAAACGCTTTGAATCTATTAGAGCTACTTAGACGCTTTGCATATGTAAATATTACACTACTACTACCAGACGCATGTACAAAGTACTTACATGATATTACTCTATAATTATTTAAGTAATTTATTCACTTTTTTTCAGTAATTTAATGATAAAATTTTATTAAAATTAAACTTTCGTCTACATTTATCATAATTGCTTCTTTTCGTTTTAGTCAAATTAATTAGTTTTATATGCGAGCTAATAATAGATAATAGGTTGTTTTTTTCTTTTCCAATCGCATTATCACGCAAATTTACGTAAATTCAAATTTTGCAGTTTTTTTATTGATTAATTACGACATTAACAGCTTAATATAATGGACAGAAAAGAGATAACGCAGTGTAGACAGTTTGAGGATGTGAGCAGAGAGTGACTGAATTATTGCATTCTTTCAGTTTTTGGAGGGACCATCTCTTTGAAATTTTTCACTACTCTCTTTTTGAAACGGATTATTTTTCTTAACTTACATAGTAAAAAATATTTTACAATCACTTTTTTCTTTACATCACATGCACGCATATTAATAAGTCAAACTATCATTGATCTAATTTTATTCACTTACGTTAATTACGTGAAGTATTGTTTTTTCAGACTTTTTTTTGGCGTAATTAATGCCTTTTATGATTTACATAAAGTGTTATAAGGAGAATTTTTAACTAATCTTATAAAGTGTTAAAGTAGAGTAGATGTTTATTATTATGTAAATTAAAACAATTTGGCCCTGCTAAATAAGCAAAACAAATATTACTGTATTTCAGGCAAATAAACACAATTCTGACAGCATTCAGATCGCTTGAATGTCAACCGGTGACAAAGATTTACATCAGTTGACTCAATATAATTTGAAGCTTAAGAAAATTAACAAAAGTCGTCACATAGTGGAAATAATTTATGGCATTCGAATGAAAACTCAGTAAGTTAATAATTCTTTTAAATGAAGATAGAATAATAAATTATTGATTTTCTTCTGGAAAGTATTGATTTTCTCGAATAAAGTATTTACAAAATTGAAAATGTAAATTTTACAAAAAGGGTAACAGAGTGAAAAAGAATATGCATTAATGAGAGAGAAGCAGGGAAGAATGGAAAAATTATTAAAGTTGGAAACAAGGAAAAGATTGAAAATAGCTGTGAAAGAAGACGAGGGAGAGAAAAAAGAAATAGAAATAACACAGTAAAAGTAATGAATTGCATTATTGCTTGTTGTCTGTCAACTACTCATTGCATAATTTAAACTTATACTCTCTAAGTCTCAGCTCTTGCTTTTGATTTATGCTCATTTTAATTTTTAGCTCTGAACTAAGTTTGATCTATTTTTCGGGCTGAGTTACGTTTGATTTGATTTTTAGAATTTGATTGAATTTGATCAGAAATTAAAACAAACATGTGCTTTCATGCCTTTGAAACTTTTTGTTGTACTACAAAAGTGAACCATACATATATTAGTGGAAGAGTAGCTTATTATGCATAACTTGTCAAATTATTTAATTCTATTATTGCTGTACTAAATTTGTACAAATGTTGCAGGGAATGTGCATTTTGTGGAGCAAGTAGCTCGATAAACGGTAAATCATTAATGCTTTGTAGAGATTGTGGTTACGTGGCGTATTGTGGAGATGAACACAAGGCACGTTTTTAGCGTTGAGTATAACCATTTTAATGTAATTCCATCATCATTTATACTAAATTTTAATCATCACGAAATGTAAAAATTAATAAAATGCATTGCCAGTTTATAATTCGAAAACAGCTCGCATAAAATTTGAAAAGCCAGACTTACTTGCTTCTTTCTTACTTTCCCATATTTGTATAAGTTATTTATCAACAATCATTTCTTTAACGTAAGAAATATGTGAGGTGCAGATAGAGTAGTATACTATACTAGCACACATTCAACTACTCATAGTTTATTGATTACTGTGATTTTGATCTCTTTCTCAATCAAATATTTTAAAATAAAGCGTCTAAACGCAGCTTATCTGCCTTCTATAGCTTCTCTCTTTTACGAAAGAATTCATAAGTTACAGAGTTAGCACTGATATGCTTTTAGCTTTCTTCTTGCATTTTTTTTTTGAAAATAAATCACTGCAATTATTTATTTATCAATTATTTATTTTTGATGCCGTCACCCAAATAGTGCTTGAATTTCAGTGCAGACAGAATCTTTCTTCATTTTGATAAAGTTTGTTTTTAATCAAAAAAACCATTGCAAACCTTGCGTGAAATATAATTCTTTACCACATTCTTGAACATTCTCATAAGTCAGACTCATAATTCAAAATTATACCTTGATTATTGCAGAGTAAATCTAAGCTTCCGTTTATTAGCTTGCTAAATTTCGAATCCTTCGTTGTTAAATTCATGTTGTTAAATTTCAAATGCTTCAAAATTTTCATTTTAGGTTGTTGAATTTCAAATG